TTGCAGGAGGAGCGAGGAAGACACCCAGCAACCCTACAAGAAGGATATGACAAACTCCTCAAAGCTTCCCAGGCTGTAACGGCCGACCCGAACCCTGAGCAAACAATTCACTGACATTTAAACCTTAAACAACTCAAAATGCTGAAAGTGCCAAGCCCCAAGTCATAAGCCCTTCATACGTTCCCAAAGCAACAGCCTGAACTAATGAAAACTCTGAACCCCTGAAACCGTGGAAGCTGAAACACACAACTGGTTGAAATCTTCTGGGTTGCTGTTATAAGATTTAGATATAGTAAACGGTATGGTTACTTTATCATGGTAAGTGAGTTTAATCATAGTCTAGTATTCGTAGACGGTACAGTACAGCTTAAAAGAAAACTACCCTAAACCCTGAACCTATCTTAAACACCCCGGTGCCCCTGTAGGCCCTGGGCCCTGGTATGGCTTTGCCGGGCTTGACAGCCACCGCCACCGCCAGGCTTGGCTGGCTTGGTTGGACTTAGGGTTATAAGTGTTCTGAAGGTTTTCTAGGATTTGTGGGGTTTAGGGTTTCGAGAGTTTATTGGCTTGCAGGGTTTATGGAGTTCAGGTTTGGCAGGTAGGGCTTAGACTCGGGTTTAGAACAGAAGTAGTTAGGTAGGTTTCAGGGTCTAGGTTTTTCAGCAGCTTTACCTACATGTTCTTTTAGTTTTTGTTCTTCGTTGTTCGGGAGGGTTCCGAGGTGATTATAGGTTGTTTCGGTGTCGTGAGCATAGCTGTAATTACGATTGGTCCAGCATTCTAGCAGTATAGCCGTCGTGGAATGAGAGAATCGGAATGTTCCAGCATGGCCAGCAGTAGCCGTAGCCATGATGATGAACTGGCTATCTTTGAGGAGATGGAAAAGATGAAAAACAAATCGGTACCATGTCCGAACAGCAAAGTCTACGTTCTTCTAGACAGGCGGTGGGGTTTTGTGCAACACTTCGCACTATTGATTGTTGGGTCATGGGCATGATGCAAGGAGATTGCCTCATAGCATCGTGGAGAGTGCAGGTGTACCAGACCAAGATGCATTATCAGCATTGTGAGTCATGTTGTTTCACGTAGTAGGCCTTCAGATCACCTTTACATTCATGCATCGCGGATCGTTTGGCTTCAAAACGAAAACGTAGGGAGGAGGCCTAAGCTAGATTGAGCCAGGAACAGCTAAAAGGCGTTTCTTTCCACTTGAATGGTTCCTCCTTGAATCCAGAAACTCTCTGCCAATATTTCCCGAGGTTGCTTGGTTGCCTGGTGAACTTGGTGGCGCTCAGACCCACTGTGCTTCGACAGCAGCGGTTTCCACACACGACTGCCAGAAAAGAAGCTGTACTCGTAGTTGCTGAAGAGGAAGCTTTGCACAGTCCTTGGACAGGACCCTGGTATTCGACTTATTAGTGGCATTCCAGGATATCCGTAGCAGTTCCTGAGATTCCCCTTTACGCCCTTTGCCTTGAGCTACGGGTATGAATCTGTCGGGACTCTGTCAGGGTTCAGTCTGTAGAGGTCCAGCTGCTAATTCTGCCGGCTGCTAGATTCCAGTTTCTTTGGCTCAGTGCGCATAGGCAAAGAACGTGAGCTGGATCACGAGAATCCGTATATGGGAGTTTCTCCAAGTAATTGCTAAGATGGACCCTGCAGTCCTCAAACGCACAAGATCATTGATGATGCCTCCGTTGCAGAATGTTTAGCAATCCCGAGTTTGGATGTCCATTCGTTCTGATTTGCAAGTATGTTCATTTGACAGAACAGTGGCAAAATCCTTCTCACTTTTAATAGCGCCTTCATTTCCTGTCTCTAACTTCTTCTTGGAAGCTTTAAGCTGCAGGAGTCCCCAACGCAAGGTAGATTACAACATGTTTGTATTATTTTCAAACCATGTGACTGGCATTTGAGGTAGATCGATGTAGACAAAATCGAAGGCTCATCCAAACACTATGTGCCCTTCCTTGCAGAAGCCATATGTCTTTGAATCAATAAATCCACCCCTTGCTTTTGATGTGCAGGCTGTATAGAGCAAAACAAGATGCGACGCGTCAGGTTTCCTGACCGTCTGAACCACATTCCAACCTCCCAAACATCCCTTTAAGCCTACATAAGCCGTAGAACCCCTCGCAGTCTTCGCTCCAACAATAGACAAGAAACTCTTAACGTTGACCCCAAGCCCCAAACTTGCAACCCTAAAACTAAGTTTTACATCCCTAAACCCAAGCCCTACATTGTAAGCCCCAAGCCCTATCCCAACACCTAAACCCATCCCCTAGACCGCTGTCGCTTATCTTTGCAGCAAGGCCTTAGCAGAACTTCAGTCCCTGGGGTCGCTCAAAGTCTTCGCGTCGCTGGTGGATCCGGATGCCTTTGGCTTCCTGGCTGTGGGACTGTTGGGGGTGGAAGGACCCTCTTTAGCTCGTCAAACGGGTAATGTGGGGGAAGTGTAGAGAGATTGAATGGATTTCTGGGGTGTAATCGCGGGTTTCGGACAAGTTTGAGCACCATTTTGGGGTGCTTCTGATAATGATTATATAACTCTTGATACCGTGGAGAGCCCCGCCACACAAAGATTTAGCGTTGAAGTTTTACCTGAAAACCGAAAGTATATAGAATCACAGTCTTTGTTTGGTGGCTCTGTTCATCGGATTGGGCCATCTTCGTGCCTGCTGTTGAGGTCTAGGTAGGCCTGTGGGACGTTATTTGGCGGGGTCTGATTGGTGGGACCCAGAAGGCTGCTTGCAGTCCTTTGCAGGTTCAGGGTGGGTCCGCCTAAGTTTGACGTTGCAAGTAGGTCATGGCTGTTGTACGCTACGCTGTTTTTGTTTCGGTCGTCAAGTTCAGGTCATTTTGCTCAGAGTTCAAGGCTCTGAGGACCAGAACCTGTCCAATCCATTTTAAAGCCGGAAGGGCCGAGCGTCAGAACAGGATGCCTTTAGGGACCTTAGGAATGTACGAGGTGAATCTGGCTCTTTAGATGTCTGTATTTGCGTTTTTTGCAAACGAGGATCACAGTGCTTATACTATGCATACAGGACATGTACACAGAGTTTTTCCATTTTCGGGTTCTTGCTGTTTCAGAATGCAATGACAAATTCGCTCTGTCCCTTCCTCAGCCGGGTTCTTGTCTTTTTTCTTATCTCATGAAGCTGTTCCTGCAGATGCCCGACAAATTGCTGATATCATTGCCGTGGAACCTTTATATACCTCTAGCAGCATGGTAGACCCCAGAACCTAAATATTGCATGTGGCAAGCTTCGCAACTTGCGCGGAAGCGTTCGCAACTTCTTCTTGCTTGGGTTGGGGAGGAGGAGGGTGGGATAACTGCGTGCGTTCTCATCCTCGGTTCGTGCTTGCAGCCTCGGACTCATGCTCTTGCGTGCAGGTGAGTGAAATTAGCTCGCGACGCGCAACTTGGTTTTCAGGGCATTCGATTCATTTGAAGCCCGTTCGATGCATAGTTCAAACTCAAGGAACTTGCCAAATTTAACAGGATGGGCAACGAGTCTGTCCGCTTGTCGACCTATTGCCACTGCTTGAAGTACGTAAATGCTGGGACATTGCTCTACAAGGAGCTGGTCCATCGTGCTACGCCAAGTGCAGCCAGAGGCTAGAGCGATCAAAATTGGAGCGCGTATTGCAAGAAATGTTGGGATCACATTTTCCAAAGTCATTGCCGTACGCAGTACCTCGGGAACCCTGACGGTTGGGATTTTGCGTTTTATAGGTAAGAAAGTGCAGCTCGAGGCCTTAGAATCTTAGAAACCCTGATAATTAGCAACATCCTTGGGTCTCGCTGAATCGCCCAACTTGGCAATGTGCCAAGACCCCGGATTCATGCACAGAGCAGTACTCTGCTATTTCCTTCCCTACTTAACTCAGGTATCCCCCTTCAGGTTCCCGGTTACGAGCTGGGTGAGGGTACCCCCTTTATGAGACCAGTTCGTGTGCATGGAGTGCCGCGTCCCGCATCATGTTATGTCAAAAAATTGCAATGGATGCCCCCTCATATTGTAAGAACAAGCTATTTTCCCCTGTAACAGGGGCTGGTGCCGTCACCGTGAGAGTTAAGGGGGTCCCCCCCACCGTGCCCACCAATCGGGGGCGGCGACGTGGTACCCTGTCTTTCCCCATATTTCCCCAAAAATGAGGGTTTTTCAACGCAGGGGAGTCTAAAGAAACAAACAAAGATGTGAAGCGCTAAAACGGAAACAGAAGGAAAGCACGCCCATGAACAGAACAGATATGGTGTGTATATACATGAATATAAGAGATTATATGACCATACGTACTCATTTTCCGCCATGCTTGTCTCTACACTTGCCTCGCACAATCTCGCACAAGTACTTGGTACCATGTCTCCGGGGCTGTGCCCGGGAAGATCATGTGAGGATTAAGCACCCGTGCATGGTACCACGTCCCCGTGGCTGGAACCCGGGAAGATTATGTGAGGATTATATAGAGGGGTAATATGTGGACCATGTGAGGATTACAGAGTTTATGTGGGGATCATAAAGGGATTATGTGAGGATCATACAGGAACCATGTGAGGATTATATAAGGGTTCCATAGGGATTATATAGGGATCATGTGAGGCCACGGGGACTTGGCATATATGCATGTGTGTATGTATATATATATATACACATGTTTTCTATGTGTACATTGTATTTGTACCATTCATGGGCATGCTCCCCTCGATTCTTTCTTCCTTCATCTCTTCATATCTCTGACCTATCTCTATATTTCTTTTTGTCATACACTCATATTTTGATGTGTCCTTCCCATTTTATGAAGCATGGCCATGGATTCTCTCCCCATTTTATAGCTGTTGTACTTTTGCACGATATGCACTGACGCGCGCGCGCTCCCCCCCCCCGCCATTTAATAAACCACATGTGAACTCATAAGGACTTTTAATGGATTCCCATCCCCACATTTTAGAGTAGAGAATGATTGGGGGGAAGGGGGGTAAGGTCATCCTTGCTCAGGTACTGGCAAGGGCCAGGACGACGAGAACGATCCGGAAGTCATCTCCACAAGGGCTAGCTTGCTCTGCGGCCGGAAGCTGGGCATGAGATATCAATAGTAGAAGAAGAAGTAGCAGTAGCAGTAGCAGTAGTAGTAGTAGTAGAAGAAGTAGTAGAAGTAGTAGAAGTAGAAGTAGAAGTAGTAGTAGTAGTAGTAGTAGAAGTAGTAGAAGTAGAAGTAGTAGAAGTAGTAGAAGTAGTAGAAGTAGAAGTAGTAGTAGTCGTCGTGATAGGAATGGTAGTAGTAGTAATGGTAGTAGTTAGTAGGGGTGGTAGTGGTAGTAGTAGTAATAATATTAATAACGGTGATAGTATTATAAGCAGCAAAAGTAACAGTACTTAGTACCTTTTCTAAATGGAAATCAGAGGGACATCACATGGAAAATGGAACGGATGGTGGTTGTTATGGGGACGTGTGGGGTTCAAGGTAGACCTAGCAAGTAGTGGAGGAACAGAAAAGAAAATGGAAGCTACTTCATTAATTAGGGTTTAGGCTTCAGCATCACGGAACTTGGTAAGTAGGGGTTTGCTGCATTTGGCGTATAGGCGTTGTTCGTCTACAGGCGTTGTACGTACCCCTGACCCTCCAAGTATCGCGTTCCACAAAGTACGGATCCCATTTTCGGAGCTCCAAAATCAGGATTATAGTCTCCTGGAACATTTAAGGCGGACCACTAGGAGGACCACTGTTCTTCGAAGTGACCGCATTTTGTCCTCTGAGATTTGGGTCTAGGATAAGGATTCAGGGTTTGGGCCTCCGGTTTGTGCGCTCTGAAATTCTCGAGCATTGTTCTGAGCAGTGTTGCAAAGGGTTCCGAAAGGGGACCCTATTTGTCCCTGCAGTGGCGGACAGCCAGAGTCTGCAGCAACTCTGTTGCTATCTGCTTTAATTAAGCGTATGTAGCCTTGGGCTTACAAGCGACGTATGAAGCCTCAAATTGGGGCAGATGCCTCTTGCTCAAGCTGTGCGACCCTTTTTTTGAGCCCTTCATGGTGGGTGTTGATGAAGCCAGGTTGACTTTGCCAAGCCCTTTCCAAGCCCTAAGCCTAAACCATGGACAAAGCTCAGAAACCCTAAGCACGCAGCCCTAGGTGCCGAGCTTTGCTTTACCACCCTCTGTTCTGAGGTTGGTGGGTGCCTTTCCTGACCGCCTTGACGCGGTTCTTGGATTTGGTTTGGGTGTTTGCACAGCTTAGAATTTGAGTTTTTTGATTTCTCAAGCAAGGCTGAGTGTTTATGCTGGACCAACCGAGCAAGTGAGAGAATTTGTCTGCAAGAGCTTTTGCAAATCTGCATGATGTCACGAAGTATCTTTCGTGTCATAATTTGTAGACATAAGAGTCCTGGTGTTGTAGTAGGAGCCGCTTGCTTTCTGTAAACGTTGAAATGGCCTAGGTCCTGGAAGCGGATCTGCTCAAACGATTGTCTCGGCTGGTGGAGAGTGACATGGTTTTGGCTTTGCTTTACGGTTCAAAGTCTATCGGTTTGGAGCTCTAAATTGGGTTCTGGGTTTCCAGGCTTTAGTGTTGGGAGTTTTTTTTCAGATTCAAGGGCTTGAGGATTGAAGGTATGATGTTTTACAAGTAGAGTCAGGCTTTGAGGGTCTGGGGGCTGGGGATTTGAAGCGCTTTATGCATCGCTTTTTGGAGTTTCAGGTCAGGGAGGGCTTTGTTTGGACACCTGATGGTTCGGAGTGTAGCAGAGGTACACTGAAGGATCATGACAGTTTCTGGATGGTTGCAAAGAGAACCTGAACATGATTTTTTGAGGGGATTCGCAGGGACAGATGACCAACAGTTTTTTTGAGCGTTTAGCAGGACATGACCTGACACCGCAAGACTGGCTAGCTAAAAGTGAGAGAATGAGACGGAATATTCTAGCTGCTGAGGAGCTTTACGCGGGGCGCTATAATCCCACACTTGATTATGCAGAAGCCTCAAAGCCTCAAGGTCGAATGCTGTGGACAGATTTATTGTTGCTTTTGTAGCTTCGAGAGGCTTGCATGTTTTGGACATTCAAGCATGAATGACGTATTGGTTTTGAAGATTGCCTTGGGGTAGCTTGTATTCGAGAACGCCAAACCTTGCAGCCTCTACCCAGCCAAGGCTCTAAACAAACTTTGCTCCAAGGTGGACCTGCCAACCCAAAGCCCTGAACACTCCGTGAAGCTTTGAAGACTCGAGTTCTGAACCCTCAACCCTACACCATGATCCTAGTCCTGCCTGAATTCTGTGCCTTCACGTTGAGCTTTCTCTAGCTGCCTCGTTCTGTTTTGGGACAAGTATCCTCCTGCTCAGGAAGAATCCTGACCAATCTTGAGAAGATCCAGCTTAAGTCCCAAAGCCCCCAAAAAAGCCAAGAACTGGACGTGGCAGCGGTTGTCAGAAGTGCTCAGAGCTTCAGCTTCTATTTCAATTTCATTGGGTTTAGGCACGAATTTACGGTGTAGTGTTCGGGGGCAGGGTTCTGTGCAGGATGGGGATTTCCAGAAATACATACGCTTGGAGTGTCCTGAAATTGAGTACGGTCTCGTTTTCGGTGCACGCAAGGCTAGTCCTGTGTTCAGAAGCCGGATGTTGTTAAGAGAGTGAGGTTTGCTGCAATTCGTACTGTAGCGAGCCTCATGTGTCCATGGAGATTCTGAAGCTGCAGCGCGCGGTTCGGGGGGTATCTTTAGTGCCTGAGGCTTGGGATGTGGGCTTCAGGCTTCAGAGTCTCAACGCTCAGGTGGCAAATTTTTGCATGCTACGCGTTTTGGGCATTGTTGGCTCCATGAGTTTCTTTCAACATTTCTCGCTCGGAGATTCAGATGTCTCCGCAGCTTGGGGTTTCAACTGAGTCACATCCGAAGGCCATCTATGACATGTAGACGCCCGAATACTTCCTCAAGCGGCTCGTAGTTCTTATAAAGGAACTGAGGCACCACTTGAGATGCAGGCGAACTGCATGGATGTGGAGTGGGCATACTGCAGTCTTTGCCGTAGTCATCGTAGTGATGTGACACTGACTCATACTAAAAGTTGAGTCGTCTGCACATGAGGGTTCAACGCGAATGGCGGCATTCTAGGAGCGTGTTTAGAAGGTCTTCTCTGTTTTCAAGAACGACGCCATGCGGCAAGTGCCCCGTCCCCCCACGCTCAACAGGTTGAAGTAGATCCACGGCAACCCCCAAAAAGGTACTCCCCTTGAAAGTCAATTTCTCAGAGGCTCTGCCTGACCTCTGGCCCCTAGGAATCTGCCCCAAGGGTAGCGATTAACGACTGTTTGTGTAAGTTCGGTGTATGATGTTGGCTGGAAGCTCCAGATCCATCTTGTTCTCACATCTTATCCAAGACAGCTCGAGCATTGAGAATCCCAATCCTAGAGCTCCAAGCGGCTGCGTCGAAACTTAAGCATGCCCGGCTAGTGCTGGTTCGTAGGGAATGTTCCTAGACAGTCCCCCATTATCCTTGCTAAAGCCCATTCCTGCATTCTCAACCGAATAATAAGCCTCATGGATAAGGAATCGCGATGACTTGCAGCCTACGCCTATTCTGGAGCTCTCGCCTAGTTTAGTGGCTGTCAGAAGCTAGGGGTACAGGTCTTAGGTTGGGGGTTCAGGGTTGAGGGATTAGCGTTCAGAGTTTAGGATTTGGGTTGAGGTTGCTTAGTTTTCGGATTTAACATAAACAATCCCGCAACATCCGCGATGCCATGCTACACTTCAACAACCTCAGAAAGCCTGGCACGCAGCTCGCGGCTGGGGGAATTTATCTCAAAAAACATGTGAGTCCCCTTCACTGCCCGTGTACCCGTCGGATCCCTAAGAGTAATTACTCGTGTGTTGAGAAGCTCGAAGCTTTGAACCCTAGACCCAAACCAGAATCCCTAAGTGCCGAACCCTTACACCTGCATGCTTAGATTTCGAAATTTGGGTCCCATTTTGTACCAAGGAGTCCCACAACTGGTAATGTGGCTCGACGTGATTCCTTAACCCAAAGCTCTTAGCACCAAAACGAGCCTACCACAATAGCCAGAAATCTGGAGAGTTTGCCCGACTGGTTTCAGAAAGCAGTGCGCGCGGGCATCAGTTCAGGTACGACGCTCACAACCCACAAGCCCCAGCAGGCAAATGAAATATTTAGGATTTAAGAATTGGGGGTATTGGGCCAGGCTTGAGTTTGGGGAGCATTTAGGAGTCAAGGTTGAAGGGGAGGTTCAGGAGGAGCTATGAGTGAGGTCAGCAAAGCTACAGTCATTGCCTAACTGGGGGGGCACCCCCATGTCTTCAAACACTCCCATATCCCTCTGTGGAATCTTTGCACCCCACTGAAGTATCCTAAGAGCTTCTCCCAAGTCCAAAGCCCTAAGTCCTAGGCAGAACCTAGACCCCAAATCGCTCAAACCCTATAACCTGAACCCTCAAGCCCTAAAGCTCCAGTTTCCAGACACTAAACCGACTAAACCCATCGCATAGGACTGGCTTGACCCGGCCCTGCGCCTTTTGGTGTCTATCCTGCTCAAGGCCTACGGTGTTCACAGTATCTGTAAAAGCAAAAAAGTTCAGGGCCTGTTTTTTGGGGATTGAGGGTTTTCTGATTTGTTTGCTTTGTTGCAGGGTTTGGGGTTTACGTTTTGTGGCTTTGGGCTTTTGCATTTGCCGTGTAGGGGCACGGGTCTGGACAATATTGAAGGTGGACATGGAAAGCCTGCTCATGACGTATAGCCCCCATTAAATTGCAGACGAAGCTCCTACAGCCTTTAGATGTACAAGAGATTTTGATCGTAGCTCATGCTGGGTGGGGAGCAAAGACCTGAAAGCCCACTCGCACGCCCACAAAGCCAAGAGAAACGAGCATGGTTGTTGTAGTTGTGTGATTGTCCAGTGCTTGTAAGGCTCCAGCAGACTTTCGACACAGTTTATGACTTCCACGTGTACGTGAGAACCCTGAGCTAGAAACTTGAGAGACCATGTCTCAGCACGAACTTACCGCTTCGAAGCCTCAGGCACTATAAGCTTGAAGCCCGAATCCAGAAAAACTCATGTTCAACTGTAAGCCTCATTTTAAAAACCTGAGGCTTCAGCCGTGAACCTAAATCCTTGACTTAGACCCTGTGCTGGCCCCATAGCTTCGGCCCTGCCCTTCCCTTCCACCTAAAGTCCGAGGCTTTGATCCTACGCTTTAACCTTAAACCTCCCCCAACCCTAATACCATCTCCCAGATTCTTGCACAGTGCCAAGCATGAATCTGGAAGCTCCATGGATCAGGTCCCGGGTTCTGTACAGCGCCTTTCAGAAGAGGTCGTCTCTGCTCTTCATGTTCACGTTATGGCCAACCTTAAGTAAATAGAATGCCGTTACTATCATTAGTACTTTGGATAGTCATCTCTAATCACATGGCGGACGGCAGGGCCAGTAGTCAACATACTGGTGTTGTGGGCAGTCATCCGGGAGGAGATGGAATATTGAATGTTGTGCATATGCTTTTCGTGCTGCTGCAGGCCTGAGGGTCAAGTACCCAAGCATAAGGCTTTAGGTACCCAGAGCCTTTCGGCATCTAGTATGTGGGACCTGAAGCCCAATCATTTGAATGCGAGGGTCTATGGCATAGAGGCAAAGGTCTAGAGGCAAAGGTTGCATGGGGCATCAGGCGTTCAGGTCTACTGGGATCTTGTCCCTTGCTTGTATGCATGGTCATATGCCCTGTCGTAAATGAACATGGCCAAAACACGAGTTTCTGACGGTAGTAGCCTCATCTACTAAGCAGACATTTAGACCCGAGAATCTGCAAGTAGCCTTTATCACTAGTCTGGCTCCTTACATGCTTCATTAAGACGTAGAGAAAACACTGGACTGACATAGGATTCCGCAATGTACTGCCCAACAAAGACAAGGAACCCCGCGATTTCACACAGCACAGTGTTTTGAAACACATTATATTTCCAAGGGTTCTGAACGTCATGCCACGTTGATATTCGCCTACTGCTTGGACCATAGTACACATCGGAAGCGCCACCTTTCATCTCTCCTACGCAAGCATCTTCAAAAGACCTTGGGATGGTCTAGCCTGCTCATCATGGTACTTCTTGCGCTCTCAGAATTCAGTTTAAGAGAGACGGGCCACGTAAAGGGTTTAGTGTTTTGGGTGAAGGTTCAGGGTCTATAGGCTGCAGCTGTTGAGCAGGGACGAACCCGAGAATGCCCTAAAGAAACCTGGCCACCCTGCAAGGTATAAGGATTCCCAATGTCCAGGGGTACTCTGGCGGCATGAAGCCTGATAATAATGTTCTTTGTTGGAGGATGGCCCATCACCGCTGCGGCCGCTTTTATGCCGGCTCTGTGTGCCTTTTGTGCAAGAAGAGGGGTGTGTGAAAGGGTATTAATTAGATGTCTGAGGGTCACGCTGAGGGACATCTTAGGGTCAGGAAGCTTGTATGTAACAATAGAGAGGATACCTTCTT